TGTTTTGTGGTTTTTTTTTTTAAATAAACTGTTTTAAATACCTACTTCAGAGAGCCTGGACAGAGAGTTGTAGCTTTCCTCTCACTATCTAAATAAGGCCTCTAACAATGTTATCACTTTTCAAAACACATCTGTCCCCCAGCTCCCAACCCAGACAATTGGCAGGTAACCAGTTAATAAATGTCTTCGCCAGACTGTTGAATAGGCTGGCCCCAGCTCAAGAGTGATGTCAGGGCCATTCAATGCACTATAATTGGAAAAACCTGGGAAAAGCAATCCCATGTTTTTCAATAAATAACGAGTGTATTAGCAGCCTCCTGCTTTTATTCACCATGGTATCTACCTTGTTCAGTAGCAAAGTGAGATTTTTTTTTTCCTGCTGCCACTCATTCAGTGATTTCTATTTGGAATTTGATGCCAGTTTCCAGATGTGTCTCAGGCCAGGAAGTCAGCAATCGGCCTGGATAAAGCCTCTGGGATTAGCTACAGATCATCTTCTAACACACACATCCTTCCTGCACCCTCTCTTATGATACTGGGGCACACCCCTTGCGCCCAAAAATAAAACAAAACAACCCAGAGTCGAGCAAAAGCATCCTGACTAGGATGCTTTGATCATTTTCATATTACATATGGGGGAATATAATTAATTAATTCAGTCCATCAAAGCCCCAGAGGCACCATTTGAGAGATCTTTGCACGGGAGTGTTTATATACATAAATCACTTTAACAATTGCAGGTTCTCTGTCTGATGGAGCAGCTTCAGGCAAAGCTTATCTCCCACAGCTCCTCACCAGTGGTACCCGCAGGAGAGCATCAACTCTCCAGCTCAGCCACAGAACACTGGAGGGGGATGAATCTTCCAAAGCACTTGCCCTCAGAGGAAGAAGTGAAGATGATAAATGAGTTTTCTGGGCTCTGTGTGAGCAACTCTGGGAAGCTAAAACTCAAGTGGGTGACAAGAAGGATGTGGTTTGCATGGAAAATAATCACAAGCAGAAGCACCCTGACAGCAACATGCCTTTCAAACATCCCTATGCCCCTGAGAAATGAACCACTCAGATTTCCCAGTCAGGAGGAAAGGGCTTAGCCCCACACAGCCAGGCTCCACGCTTGCCCCAGCCACATGGTACCATCTGCTGCAGGACAGGGGGGATCCCAGCCCAAGGGGACACAATTACTGAATTACCAACAAAATAATTTATTGTTTTCTCCCCCAGGCATTTAAGAAGCTGCTGTTGGGCCCCTTTTGCTCATGTTGTGATTCCTTTCATCTCTCCATCAAAGCACAGACAAATTAACACCAGCCCTCCTCCCAGTGATCGCCCCCCATGCGCTCCCACAGCCGCTCTGCTTTAACAGGGCACCTGGGAGCCACTGCCAAAACAGGAAAGCAGGCGCCTAATTGAAAGGGAGTATTTGGGAGTCACCCTACACAAAAATTAGCAGAGATATGCTAGGAAAATAAAAGAGTGGGCATTAACGGACAGCTTATCTTCTTTTTCCGTGACTCTAACGTTCGGGGCATGAAAAGGCCAAAAAGTTTCACATACTGTTCTAAGGAGCTGGTCAGGGATAGGAGCATCCTCTCCTCTGCGTTCACTGCTCCTCCCAGAATAACTTGGGCTGATTTTGAGGTAAGGTCCTCCAGGATTAAAATGCAGATGTACAAAAGCCAAAAAATCCCTGCTACTATGAACATTTGTAGCAAGTGCTGGGTCTTGGTTATGGGTTGAGAAGTTGAGCACAGACTGATTTCAATTCACCTGTGTTAGGTTTGATATAAACAGTAACCTGTGCCTAGGGATAAAGAGAATATAGATGTCTTCTGTCTGAAGGAAGGACCATGGGGGTCTCTGTTTATGGAGGGGGCCTGAATTTTAAGATGAGTGGCCAGAGACAGCTCAATGAGGCTCATTTTCAGACAGAACAGGGAGCTCCTCTGCTCGCTACCCACCCTTGGCTGAGATCCTAGCCTGGGACTGTGACCCAGCCCCAGGGGAAGTGCCAGCTGGAGCCAAGGGAGGATTTAGGATTAACTCCAAAACATCAGCCAGTCCCACCCCATCCTGCGGGCAGCCTGTGGAAAGGAGCAAAGCCCTCGGGGCCAGACAGAGGGACAGGGCAGGCTGGCAGGGAGCCGGCAGTCGCAGCGGGGTCAGCAGCATCTGGAGAAGCGACCCAGAGCAATCCCTGTCTGCTGGAGCTGCTCAGTTCCTCCGGCCCCAGCTCCGGACTGCAGGAGCCTGGCTGGCTTTGGAGCGGGAGCAAGCCATGGCAAGAGAGAGGAAAAAAAGGAGAAAAAGCAGTGGGAAGCCCTGCTGAGAAGCCCCCTTTTGTGTAAACATGCTCCGTCCTCAGACTAAAAATAAAGGCAAACCACAGGAAGGGAGTGAGTGCTTGGACAATATCCGATTTGGTGTGTGCCTGGGTGTGAGCTGCGGGAACAGGGAGAAGAGCAGGGGACTCCACCCAGAGCAACCACACAAAGGCAGCCGGTTAAGACCTTCAAGATGGACAGGCATTCCTGGAGATTATTTAAATCCAAATAACTGCTGCTTGGCAGATGTGCGGTCCTTTGGTATGTGCGCAGCACTTGGAAACACTAAGTGAGGGAAAAGGCTGCCATGACAGGAGCAGGAAAGGCAGGATAACGGCACATGGCCCATTTTACAGGTTTTGAGACTGCAACCTGAGGCTGTGAACTGAAAGCCCATAAACCTGCCATAAAAAAAGGACACAACCCAGAAAAGATGTCAGCTGAAATCCAGCTCAGAGGTCTGTCCTCAAAAACTACCTCTCCCTGCACGCTCAGTCACCGCTGCAGCCACAGAACCACACTCAAAACAACAGCATGCTTGTGAGGGCTGTGGAGAGATGATTAGTGGACTGCTCACCTCAAAGGGGTCTCAAATGCTTCCCCAAGTGCTGGGCTTTGATGCATTGCACTCCACCATTGCCATCAGCTGGCTTCTGAGGAGGGAGCTTCACTGACACCTGCACGTCCCACCTGCAGCCCTCTTGCAGGAGGGATGCTTTGCTGGTGGGGGCAATTGCACTGGAGAGAAGAATCCATCCATCCACACAGCGTGAGGAGGCTCCTCAGAGCCCAGCGCTCACCGTTGGTGCTGACACACCACTCAGAGGCCTTCTGGGGAAATGCAGGGCTCGGGAGGATCCCACCGCCCAGCCTGGAGGGAAAACACACTCTCACCGGGAAGCAGTCTGCGAAAGCAGAGAAACCCACAGCTCTCCCTGCCAGCTGTATGGCCGCAGGTCCCACTGTATGGGCAGAACTGCTCTGGGGTACTTGCATTTGGGGCTTGGATCTGGCCACCATCAGCCCAATGTCCTTCCACCCACTGGAAGCCCTCCTCTCTTTGGTCAGCTGTGGCTAAACTGCAGCATCTGCAATGCTCAGCCACCTCGTTTCCCTTCCTTTCTCTATTTTCTGTCAGAAGAAAATGACATAGTGCTCACCAGTGGAGGAAATCAAAGACAACTATGTTGACCTCAACTTGGGCATGTTTCCTGCTGACGTCTGTATTCCTCTAATTCTCGCCTCCTGGGGCCATGTTCGCTTTCCTACCATCAGGCCTCACCTTGAGTATTCATTTTTCTTTACTATCATAAAGGTCTCCTACGAGCACAACCAAAATGCAAAACCCCTCCATTTACTTTAGAAAACAACTTCCAATGAAACATAGCTGTTTGGAGCAGCTCATTTGCTTTCTCTGCAAAACAGGCCACAGCAACAACCGTCCTTGCTTCATTTTCATTCACAAGTACTGTTGAAAGTTTCACAGGCTTCCATTTGGGGAATTTCTTACATGCTAAATATAAGGCTCTTTCCATAAGGCTCTTTCTATAAGTGTCTTTCCATAATGCTCTGTCTTAACAGGGGAGCAGCTGCTTCTGTCCCCGTGCCGTGCCACATCGTCCTCACACACTGTACCAGCAGCACGAAACAAAACAGCAGCATGAAAGACAGCAGTGCCATCAGTGCTATGAGTACCCACATGACTCACCTCCTGCCACCTGGCTCGGCGGCTGAATCACAGCTATCAATCAAAACTGAAGATCTTTCCTTTAAACTCACTTTAGTAGGTCACTTGCAACCCCCCAAGGTGCTGCCGGACACAGAGGAAGCCAAGAAAAAGGTGACACCTTCTGTTTACTCAGCTAATTACACTTATTGCTGGAGTGGCTGCTGCGGCACTTGTAGGCCGCTTCCACAGCAACAACCCACGCCTTCAGTTGTGTTTCCCAGCGAACGCTTCTTGGGAATGCAGATGGAGGGAGGGGAAGGGGGCTTGAGGTGCAAGAAGGGCTGCACTGAACCTCTGCCTTGCCCAAGCTGGAGCCGTCACTGCTGGCTGAACTCAGTCTGGGAAAAGTTAACAGGAGAACTCACACTCACAGCTCCTTGAAACCCAAGCGGTCACTTGCCCTCACCCAGCTCTCTCCTTATCTCCCCAGCATGACCCTGGACAGCAGATCCAGTGGTGTCCAGCCCGGGGCCAGCACTGGTGGCACAGCCAGCACAGCTCAGCACAGGCAGGGTCTAAGTGACCTCAGAGGACTCCAGGAGAAAATCTTCTTATCTCAAAGTCACAACCCTCCGTTTTCATGGGGACAATGCTTAATGCTGAGTTAGGCAGCAGAAGGCAACAAAGAGCAACTGCAAACACAGATGCTCTCTGTTGTTAGAAAATCTCTGACTGCAGTACAAGTATAACAAGCACACACATTGAGAGCTGAATTCCCGATGTTAAACACCTAAATTATAGGACATCTTCAGTCATGCTCTGGAAATACTTACTTCCTTGCAAAATTATTGGTTGCCTCTAAAAGATCAGTGCCAAAGGACAAGGGATACATCTGGAAGCTCTGAACTCTACCTCTGCCCAAGTGTGTGTAACTTCACACACACAAATGATTAGAAAACCCCAGGAAATTAACACCTCCTGACCTCAATGCAATAACCCCCCAGTTTTACCTGGATCAAGGTGTGTAAAGGACCCAATGACAAAGTCCAGTGTTGAAACAGCCAGCAGGAAGAGCAGCAGGAGCTGGAGCCTGATGATCCACTTCACCCCAGCCAGGTTGATCCCCTGCAGGCCAAACAGGACAGCCAGGGAGATCCCACGCACTGCCCAGATGTTGCTGAGGCTCAGGACATCTGCAATGGACTCTGCAAAGCCAGTGATGTACATGGCACCTGCAACACACTGAGGGACAGGGCTCTGTGAGTGCCCCATGGCAGAAAAGGGATCCCCATGCTGGGCTTGGGGATCTCTGTTCAGACAAACAGACATTTGCTGTCACAATACAATGCTTTTGATGTTACTCTGGCCTACAGGGACTGAACCTTATTGCTCTAGGACAGCATAGCTACAGCCTGGGCAAACAGAGAAGGCTGGGTGTTAGGGCCAGCCCCGCAGCAACATTCCACTGGCTTTAAAATTTACCCTCCATTAACACTCCAGGAGAAACCACACTGGCTTCTCTGAGGGAGAAAAGGATGAGTCAACCTCTACGTCTCCTCTCTTTTTCTGTTTCTCTGGAGGAAAGGGTCCCGGTTCAACACCTGCCTGAAGAATTGCAGTTTGTTTGCCCCTTCATTGCCTTCCAGGGGTTATTTTTAACTCAATGTTTAGTTTGGATGTAAAAAAAGATGCTTCACTGGCTCCCCATCTTGTTGCTGGAACGGAGCCTGCACTTTAAAGAAGAGCACATTGTGCAAGCTGTGCCCCCCCTCAAGCTCTAGGGCAAGCTGCCTGTTTGTCTTGCAGCAGGGCAGGACACGCACTCTGCCCGGGGTGGCTGAGAGTCTGCAGGACAGGACATCTGCACACAGGCTCGGGCCTCAAACCCCACTGTGGGACAGCAATCTGAAATACCGGGACATTTCCTTCTAGAGGTTCCCACTAGCTGACACTTCAGCAACAACCCTTTCCAGTGCATGGCATCCCTGGAAAACCAGGTCAGGGTTTGCTGGCATGCTGACATGAGTGGTATGAGCTTGGGTCCTGCAACCCCACTATCCCTGTCCACGGATGAGGGATGTGCAGCACAGCTCCCACATGCCTGGATGAGAGAAAACCCCCACCCAAGCCAGCAAGAGTGGAGCAGACCCCTCATTCACTGCAAATCCCCCACCTTGGACAGACCCAGCACTCCTCCACTGAGGGTGTTCAGAACAATCTGGGTCTATCCAGGAGATGCAGGTTCATGTGTGGTTTTCAGGAAGGTGCAGGGCATCCAGCTGTCCAGACTCAGACACCTACACCTTGGACATCCTGAAGGATTCACTTCCATCATAGGTAGACAACCAGCACAGATCAGGGGAACCAGACCCTGACTCTCTGCATCAGCAGCATGTGACCAGGTGTTCCCCACTTGCCCCAGTCAGAGTAGGGAATAGGGAATACTCCACTTCTGGCTGGGCTTGTGTGATGATAGAAGTTACAGCACTCCATGAGCATCTTGTACCGGGGAGCAGCCTGCAGCTGGTGCAAAGCACGTTGGGCAAAAAGCACGGCCAAGAAGGGAAAGGCATCAGGTTTTGGGAGCAGGCAAAGTTCTTAACTGAGTTGCCAGCTCCCACCCTACACTCCCCCGTGCACATGAGATGCCTACACAGGGGCCAGCGCTGCCACAGCCCAGCTTTTATGACCCTCAGGACAGGCTGCAACCTGATTGCTTTCCCAGACAGGGTCCTCTCAGAGAGCAGGAGTGGAAAATATGACAGGAAGGATTCTCATGTGTGGCCCATTTCCATATCTTGGCTTGTAACAAGGTTCAGTTTGCATTTTATGGACACTTGCTTTTAATCTGGAGCAAAAGGAGAAGAGGGGATTATTTTTGGTTTGGGGGTTATTAAGGGGTTTTGGAGATTGCTGTAAACCAGTCAGTTAAAAACAAACCTCCATAAAAATGCTTCTCTGCTCACCACATTTTATACTGTTCATAACGTCTTTATAGGGGGAGGGGGTTAAGTTACTGCAGGTTTAAGAGATTATTTTCCATTCTTTATGTGCACTACTTGTGTATTTTTGTGCTTCACCACCATGAAAGGTCCTTGGGATCTTTCAGAAAATCCAGAACTGTGACTTTTGGCTCACAAGAAGCGGCACTTAGCACTGCCCAGCCCTCCTCCCACACCAGCTCCACTTCTACTGGCTCCTGCAAAGAAGCAGCCAAGGCTTGCCCAGTCCCTAAGGGCATGGGGAGCACACCAAGGCCAAACTGCCAGCCCACAGCTGCTCACTGAGCTTTAGGTGGCCACCCTGACTCTCCCACTTCAGTTTAATTTCAGTCTCCCGCCAGCAAGGGCATGTCCTGGCAATGGGGCTAATTTGGGATGGGAGAGCATGACCTGCGTGGCTTGTTCAGACACACAACTCCTCCACCATTGTGACTCTTGCCAGACAGCACATTGTCATGCACAAGCTTACTCCTGGGAAGCAGAGTGGGGTTGAATGCTCCATGGTGGCCTCCCATGTTGCTCAGCAGAGTGAAGCATTACCCAGATTTTACCTGGAGCGTTGCTTCATGAGGCAGGAAAGCAAAGATTAATACCTGCATTGCAAAGTTTCTAAATTTTCTTTAAACAACTTTTTCAAATTACCTGGCCAAAAATGTAAAGGATGCCAATGGTCCCCGCTATTTGACCTCCAAGGACAGTAGAAATCATGGAGTAGACTCCTCCACTTCCAATGCTGCACTTTTCACACACTCCAATTCCAGACAAGACTGTCACCAGGGCAACCAGGATGACAAAGGACACCAGAAACATGCCCATTACAATGCCAGTGTTTCCCTGGAATGAAAAAAAATAATCAAATAAAGATCAATTCACACCAACTCCGCTGAGATAGAAAAAGGACCTACCTGCCTCTAGTCACTAGTGATGTATGAATCTGGAGTCATTACAGATTAAAAGAAATGCACACAGATACCTCTAGTTGTCTAATTAACGTAACTGATTGCCAAGTTTACAGCTCCTATTAGTACCCCTTTGATGTAAACCTGTCTCAGCCTGGGGCTCAGCAGACCTTTACATGAGCTGGTTCTGCTCTGTCACAGAATCACACAGAATATGCTGAGTTGGAAGGGACCCACAAGGACCATTGTATCCAACTTTCAGCCCTGCACAAGACTTCTCCATGAATCACTGATTTTGTCCTCTGGTTTAAAAGGAATGAGGTCAAACAATGATTCAGCCACCATAGGCAGGGGATCGCTGCCTATTTGCGTGGTTTAGAATGACATGCTTAAAAAAGCCACAAAACACTTTAATAACAAAAAGTAGTTTCAAAATTGAACCCCTGGGATTTGCAAAAGCTGATTTATTAACAGCACCAAGCTCGTATTTTAATTTTTCAGAAAATTTACCTCTGAAAGCTCTGATCCTCCCAAACAATGAGATCCCAAAGAACAAAACCCCAAAGGCAACACAGCACGGAAGATAAATAACAGTCTCATAAACCAGAGTGTGCCAGCCCTTATCTGAGGGACGTACACAGAGTGACAGGTGGCTCTCGCCCTCCATGGGCTCGGGGGAGTTTTGTGCACAGGATTCAGCCCCGCTGAAAAAAAAACAGCCCTTCCTGCTTGCGGCAGAGGGAGGGCCCCAGGAGGAGCTGCTGCACCAGCCACGGTCTCAGTGTGGGGTATAGAGCAAAAGCCTCTGAACAAACACAGCTGCAGGTCCCTGTTGGCACCGTTAAGGGCCAGCATAACCCATTTTTTGGGGTGTTCGGTTTGCCATTTAGAGATGGATTTTCAGAAGGAGAAGGTGCTTAGCACCTCCAAAAGCACTTAAGGACCTCTTCTGAGCTCGGGATCCTGCCACCCTCCTACCCTCTCGCACACGGCTGTAATTTCTTTTCCAGGGTCAGAAGTTCTCCCTCGTGCTCCAGCCCACCTTCCTCTGCTGACAAATCACTCAGACCAGCGCACAGCAATCAGAAATCTCCTCCAGTGCCCAGCGCGTCGTTAAGGTCTGGCTTCCCTTCCCTGCCTTTACTCATATTACAGGACATATCCACATCCCCCCTTTCCAACCTTGCTCCAGCAGTGCTCATCTTTGAGGTCACACTAGCCGTGATGGGGTTTGTTTATCACCACCACTAAAAGGCTGCCTCCCTGCTCTGGGGTTGGTTGAAATCCCAGATTTTTTTTTCTTTTCTCTTTTTTGTGAAAAAAAAAAAGAAACATATCCAGGATGTTGCTATCATCATAAAATCCTATTTTGGTTCAGCATCCTGCTGCCTTTGACAGGGGTGTTATCTGGTCAGTGGGGAACAGAGCCAAGGTTTGCTATAAATGCAGCATAAACGCAGCTGTGGCTGGGTCAGCACCACAGCCCACTCCAACTCCATACTCCTTTTTAAAAGGACAATTGTTCTTTTTTTTCAACTGCTTACCCTCAGGTTAAAGGGTTAATAAATCTGACATGCTTTAGTTAAAAAGAAATAAATTAAAAAAGGCAAAAATATGCAATTCATGTAGCCTTGGGCTTTTCCAGAAAGTGCTGGTGGCACAAGGCTATGGCAGCAGTTAGTTAATGGGCAATCCAATGGTTTCCAAAGAAGAAAGGGTTAACATCAAGACCCGAGGAGGAAGGCTGGACTCACAGCAACAATAGCAAGCAGAGAAAGTGGGAAGAAAAAGCCCCCATTAAATGCTGATGCTTATTTATGCATGCGCCAGAAGGGGTTAGTGCAGCAACTATCCTTGTCAACATTCAGGCAAGATTAGGGTCCTCTGCAACTGCAAAGCTGCAACAGCCCGGGCTCCAGCCCTGGAAATTTATAGCAAAAGCCTGACTGTGAACAGCTCGATGTATGACTGTCCTCTGCCAGGGGAGCTCTCTGCCAACCTCAGTTTCTCCTCCCTTCCCTTTCATGCTAACTTCCAGCTGGTTCAGTTTTTCTTTTATTTACTGGCTTTATTTTTATCTGTGTTTGGTCCAGCAATAACTTACTTTCAAAGGAGATGTGGAGGAAATAAAATCAGAAGGAAAAGGAAGGTAGAAAATCATCCCAACTTCTTCAACAAAATGACTGCAGCTCCCCTCAACACCTCCAGAGCAGTAATTTTCAATACAAAGTGTCTTCTTGGTCCTTTCGGAAGGCATTCACCATGCCTGTGACATTAACTCATGCCTGTGACATGAACTCTGCCTGAAGCTCAAATCCCATCCATCCCTGGGGGAGCTTTCCTTATTCTAAGAGGAAATGTTAAGGGACAATACAACATTTTTCATCATGAGGGGAGCAGGGACACTCTTCCAGGCTCTGACTCTCAGTGAGATATTATTCTGGATCCAGAACTGAAATTCTCTTTGATAGCAATGACAATTTCAACTGACTGAGGACTCCCTGTTCAAGAAATCAGGGACTCAATCACTGATGCATTTAGAAGAGATCTGCTCCAGTGGTGTTAGGAACATGGCTGAGTACCTGGAACTACGGTGATACACTTCACCTGAAAAGTGGTTATTCTGTCTTGACAATACAACACAAGGATGTCCCTGTTCATTGTCAAGGTTGGTTGTTGTGTTTTAATTTTTCTTTCCAAAAGCTAAAATAGGAAACCACTTACAAAAACCACTTCAGCTTTACATTTTACCAGAACTTCTTCAAAAGCTACAAAATACCAGAGGGCATAAGCAATGTTTACAACAAACAGCCCAGAATCCAAAACACTTGGGTGGTGATGGATATATAAAGTAAGGAGGTGTGAAGGAAAATGTCTATTCAAACGTCCAGCCAAGTCAGCACTCACTCACCACGAGCCATCCTGTCCTCAGGAAAAGAACCACTCCAAAAATGTTGATCATGCAGGAGGTGAAGACGCCATCCCATGTTCCAAAAAGCACCGGCTCCCATACAAACAGCTGGATCTTCCACCAGGGCTTGGTCTCCGTTTGAGATACCTAGAAAAAGCAAAGCCTTGGTTTTACCTCTCATGTTTTAAGGGCAGGCTGCAGAAATGGTGCCACAGCCAGCCACCAACAGTGGGACAGCCACCAACAGCTGCTAAGGCAGGCCTTTGCTGCAAGCTGCCTTTAAGATAAAGGGGCAGTAGGGCTGTTGGGATCCCTGGGCCCTGAAAGAGAATGTTCCCTGCGATACCCTATTTATATTCTTGTAGGATAAGCAGCAACAGAGTCCCACTCAGGCTCAGTGAATTAACCTCATTACATGAACCAAAACCATCATTCAAGGGTCCTTTACAGAGCCTGCAGCTGTACTGAGTTTCTCCTCCTGTCCCTGCCAAACACCCCACCAAGGCAAGCAGGGTCCTTGGTGCATGGGAGAAGTCTCTTACAGGAGATGACAAACCAGGTAGGACCAGCTGGGACCAACAGAGCAGATTAAGATGGTCTTCCCATCACAGTCATTTCTGATAAGGTCACTTTGTTTCTAGAGGAGACACAGGACTCTGGTACTTGGGGGCACAGTGAATTTCAGCATTGCTGGAACTGAGACCTGAAACTCCAGGGAAATGAGAGTTTTCCTATGGCAACTGCTCCCTCTGACCTCTTTCCCTTTGTAAATAATACACCTCAGATTTACATATCAAAACAAAGGGCAGTGTCATTACTTTGGTCCTGTTCACTTCCCACAGAGGTGACCAGGAGGAGTGCAGAGACCATGGAGATGGAAATTTGGGAAAGGAAATGGCTCTCTGACATACCTGCTGTGCTTCCTCATGGAAGAGCTCTTGGACATAACCCTCACTTTGGGGAGCATTCAGGCTGAACATCATATCCTTCGCGTTGTCTCCGCCTGCCCAATGCACAGCTCCAAAACAACCACAGGCGAGGCTGATCCAAGTGGAAAGTCAGCTATTCCTCTCGGTCAAATTCCTGCAGTGCGGGATCCTCCATTGTAGAAGATTCATGGTTTTATTGCACTTTACTGTGAAAGCAGGAAAGACAGAAGACATGACTGCTGCTTTCTCAGTCTGCCAAAGCACAAGGCCATTACCCACAGGGAATCGACAGCAGCTCACAGCGGATGCTGAACCACAGAGTGACACCACAGCAAGCAGAGAGCAATGCTCCCCCAGCACCTCCCAAAGCCTGCTCCTGGCACAGGCTCTACCACTATTCCTACATTTAACAACCCTTGGTGGCCTTTCCTGAATCTATCCACACCCCTGGCGTCCCCAGCATCCTGTAGCACTTCGCTCTGTGTTGCCTGCAAAATGCATTTCCTCTCCTTGGTTTTAAATCTGGTGCCTGGTAATTTCATCGCAAGGCCCCGTGCTCCAGTGACAGAGGACACACGGATTATTTACTTCCCAGCACCACCAATCACTTCACAGCCTTGATCCCATCTCCTCCAGCTGTACCTTTTGCAGACTAGGGTCCTGCCAATGTAACCTCACCCCTGAGAAGTGAGTTACCTCACTCTGCCCCTCTCCCAGCACGATGCAGAGATGAAACTGGAGCAGTGGAAGGGATTCACCACCACAGACTCACACTCTGCATTCCTGATGCTCTCAGCCATCCCCTGTACTGATGTACAGGAGCCTTTTTTCAGTCACACCCACCCTTGGAGCTACAGTCTTGTCTGCAATGGCCCAAATTCAGACTCCTATCTGTCACAGGCAGACTCTGGCAGAAACAACACCATGTATGTAATCAAGAAAGCAGCATCAAGCTTTATTTCAGGGGTAACTAAACCCATCTTTACAGAAGGGGAAAGCTAGCACAAGCATTTCTCTGCCTTAAAATTGCTGGTTCTTTCTCTCATCAGGTTGTCTTTAAAATTAAGTTCTCTCTCTAATAATAGAGAGGTACATTTGTACACCTCCCTCCAGCTGGCTGCAAGTCTTAACTTCCCCCAAATTTTCTTGTGAGGCCCATCAACAAGCCACCCACAGCCTCCCTTACCAGTTGTCAACAGAGCCTTTTTGGCCATTCCTCAGTACAGCTTACACCATGCCTAGGCAAGACAAAGAGGACTGCAGCCAGAGGGGAGCAAGCTCCATGACTGTGGAGAGGGAAGTTTGTCTGGATCGTTGGCTCTCCTGGGGATGGTAAGTGTCCTGGCCAGTTGAGCTTACATGCTTAAAAGAACCAACCATGATCACAGAAGGCTTGTACCAATGGCTGGACACCTTACCTGAGACCAGAGACCAAATTAATTATGGGCACAGTGTAGGAATCTCTGACTCCTCAAGCTTGCAAACTGTGGAGACAAAGCAACCCACAGAAATGTACTTTTCCTATTGCACAGGGACAGAGACATACAGACACTGCTTTGTGTGTCACTCAGGATTTCTGTATCAGTCTGAATCCCAGCTCCCAGATCAGCACTTTCACCATCCTGCCCTTATTACCCTACTTTGAAACACCCAATAGTAAATACCCAAAGCAGACGCTGCTCCACCACTGTGTTTCAGCTGCAGAAGGTCTCCTACAGCTGGGGTACAATGGTCAGCACAGGAGGTTTTTCTTTGCCCTGCCCACGTGGCCAGTTAAGCAGCATCAAATCTATAAGAGTTCATTGATTCCCTGCTGCTTCCTCCACATTTTTTGAAGCAAATAACCCCTCACAATATCATAAATGGTTGCTGTTACAGAGAGATTGGGGCTTCAAGCAGGGCAAAAGCAGCAGGAGCAGATAAACTCCAAAGAAACAAAGCTCGTGTTTTTATGCAAATAGCCACAATAATAAAAAATGGAACAAAATACACAACGTGAAAAAAGATTACAACTGAATAGCCATATTCTCCTAAGATTCCCCAGTGCAGCCCTTCCTCAATAGAGACTTCACTCAGTGAAGCAGTCACTGGGGCCATCCAAACTCCAGTCTGCCACAGCAATCCTGTCCGGATGTAGGAAAACAGGGAGGCCGCAGCCTTGCAGCCCCTTGCTCTCCTAAACCACTCCACCAAGGGACCCCAGGAGGACATGGCCCTGACCCCTTGCAGTGGCTCAGAGTGGCTGAAGCCACTCACTCAGCGTGCCCAGTGTGTAACCACGTGTAGGTTTGATACACCCTATTACCCACCTGAAACTTGCAAAATACAGAAAGAAGGGCTGCACGCAGGGAGTTCAGACCTGAAGCACACCTTGCAAGACATTCTACCTTCCTAGACATTTAAATCCCCTTACCCCACCATTTCCTTCCTTTTTCTCTGCATTAACACCCATCTCCTGCCCTGTGCTCTGGAGCCCTCTCTGCTCAGCCCTGCTCCTGCTCACCTTGGTGTAAGATCTTTCTCCTCCACAATCTCACGAAATTGCCTCTCCGCTATTGCTCCTCTGTGGCATTTCCAACTGCCTGAAATCTTTTTACTCAATTCTGTAATTATTTACATCCCTCCACAATGCATGGATCCATTCATCCCTAGGAGGCAACCGAAGCAAACACAGGAGGGGGTACAAAGAGCAGAAGCGAGAGCTGAACAAACATGCCAGGACGGCCGCTGCACACACAGCCACAACCCGATCCATGCAACATGCTTGTATTTTTTGCAATTTAGGGTCTGCAAGTGAAAAGTCCTTGTGGCAGGAGCACCCCCCTTGCCCCATGCAGTACTGTCCCAGCGCAGCGTGGTTCCTAAGCTGCTGAACAGCACAGCGATGTTTTTGTGCGCTATTATCTATCCAGGTCACCAACCCTGAGGAAGCTTTTTCTGCTATACACACCAGCAGGCCAAATAAACCAAACAGGCACAATTTAATATAAGTGAGCCTCTAGCTTGGGAGATAATTGATGTTATTTTTCCTAAAGTTCCTGCCAAATACACTTACCAGTCTATAAATTAAAGACAAATGGCTGTTTTAATCTTTCCATACCATTTAGCATTCAAGGGAGCAGAAGAGCATTAGCAAACCTTGCAAAAACATTACAAAGGCTCATCTCCTTTCCCTGCAACACTTCTATATTTAATTACAAACCCAGATTCCTATAGATCAAATTTCTGTGCCCTCCACATCCTTTCAAAGCACTATTTTATTAATCATCACATTAAAGCTATTTCTGAGCTAAGCGTCGCTGCTCTGAGCTACTCAACAGCTGGCTGATTTTTAAGAGGAAAGGTTAACGCCTTCCCAAGCACAACTGCGTGTGGTCCCACGACCTCCGAAGGCTCTGTCCTTGCCAGAGGAGGTAATTCCAAAGCCTCCCTCCCTCAAGGGACTCAGCAGCCAACAGCACTTTAGTTTTAATAAATCCCCCCAACTCTTCTCCAGGTCAAGTTCTTAAAAACACCTAATTTAGGCGACTCTTAGGAAGGCGGGAAGTAGAGGGAAATAAAGCGGCTACCACTGCAACGAAGGTAACGCCGCACAGAGCAGCTCTTGGCTATTCCCAGTTACTCATTTACTGCACCAGCTCGTTATGTTTTCACATATCTTTGTAGTGTAACGAAGGCTGTGGAACACCACAGGTGGGGAAACAAGCCCGGGCTCTCCCCAGCAACTTCAATTTCCCGGTGTGGCCGGACGGCTTCGGTTTTGCAGAGGGCGCGGCGTTGCCAACACCTCCCTGCCAAGGGCTGCGGCCGCCGCCGCACCGCGCTGCCCACCCTGCCCGGAGAGCGCTCCAACTACCTGTTCCCTCTTCTTTTTTTTTTTTTTTAAAAGGTTTTTCGTCCCCCCTTTCCCCTCCCTTTTCTTTTGTCTTTCCCCCCCCCTTTTTTTTGTACTTTTTTCTCTTGTCCTTTTTTTTTTTACCTTTTTTCCTTTTTTAATTTTTTTACCTTTTTTTCTAAAGGGTTTTTTTTAAACACCACCCCCCCTTTCATTTGCCCTTTTTTTTTTCTTTTGCCTTTTTTGGGCCCCTTTTCCACCTTTCCCCCCC